ATTAAAACAATGTAAAACTAAAAACTAAACAGCTGCTTCATTTCCAACACTGGGACCAGACGACTTTCTCTTAAACTGAGAAGTTGTGCGAGTGCTCTTATTCTGAAAATAAGGACAATAATCTGGTTCCTCTGCTGGGATATTATACAACCGTTGTTGTTACTGGTTCAGTCGAACTCAATATTAGCTGGAATATCTTATTAAGTTAGATATATTTTCTTAAAACCAGATTCTAAAACATGCTCGAGATGACTGTAAGACTCATTTCCCAGAAACAATCCTTTAAACCATCATGGTGATATTTCAATCATTACTATTAAACATCAGAAGGATGATTGGTGATTAATCTACATACTGAAACAGACTTCAGTGCTTCACGTTTTCAGACCTTCGGCGTCGACTTGGTACCGAAGTATCGGCTCTCGTGACGTCCCTGTCATTTGTGAACTGGTTCTGCTTTTACCTCCTCAGGGTGTCGCTGATGTGGCTGCAGCGCGATGAGCCTGTCAAAGCGAGTGTCCTTCTGGTCGGTGGAAGAGGTGTTGGAGTGGGTGCAGGATCAGTACCCGACCCACATGAGCACGCTCCAGAAAGCCATCATTAAACACGCTATATCAGGTACAGCTGATGAGTTAAAGTAGGATCCACAAAGAGGTCTCGCTCCAGTACTCGTCTTAAATCTGGGACTGAATCTCTCTTTCAGGCCGTGCGTTGCTGAGACTAAAGGATCATCACCTGGAGCTCCTCGGGGTGGAGGATGAGGAGCAGCAGCAGGAGATCTTGCAGGACATCCTCCTCCTCCGAGTTCAGGAGGAAATCAATGAACTCAATGACCTCTGCTCTGGTGAGAAAGTCAGAGTAGTGGAGAGATAGTGGACCAATAAATCCACAGGAAATCCTGCTGATAGACAGGATATTAATGATTCACTGGCTAGTCTCTTCCAAACTCATTTTATTTTCAACCAGAAACACATTAAATACACAAAATCAGCAACAAACAGGATTCATATTTTAATTCATAAGTAGCGTTTGAACAAAAACCAGCTGTTAACTGACTCTAATATGTTATTCGTTCTCTGTTCGGCTCTCCAGAGTGTTTTTCTTCATAACGGGAGATAAATATCTTCAGAAGACATGCGGCTCACTTTTTTATTTTCCATCCATCCATCCATCCATCCATCCATGTTAAGGAGGGAGGGAAGTGGGAGTGATGGAAATAACAAGAGAAGGTGAAAAGAAAAGAATCAATGAAGAATGAAGAGAGAAAGAAACCCATTTCCTGCGTGAAACCTGACCTGGGCAGATGGATGAGATTAGTTCTTGTCTGAGTGTCTTTTTCTGATACCTTCTGTCCATTAGTCTCTGTCTTTCCTTCTTCCTCTATAGTGGCTTTGCATCCCATCAGTGTATTAGGACGTATTTTTAGCCGCGCTGGCTGAGTGGCGTTAGGGATGGAAGTGTTGGTTTGTCCGTCCGTTCATCCACTGCGGTGCATATCTCAACAGAAACTTCATTCATGATTCCACAGAATGAATCGGACCTCTCCTCCAGTGCCCGATGGGTTGTTCCCTTGGAAGCCCAAAACTGAAACGGTGAGCCATGGGCCAAAAGCAAACACCTTTTATATTATTAAGTAGTCCCTCCAGGAAGCAATCGATCCAAAAATAATATAATACAGACAGAAAACTATATAAAAAGTTCCCTAAAAAGGAAATAATCTGCTCTAAATTCATCCAAATCACTGGTTTTACACAAACTTCCTGCAGTTACTGAGTTCACTGTTTGTGTTCATTGTACAGTTTTAATATAATATGAAATATACATAAAATATGTCACTGAGTCAGTTTACTGTCTGATAGAAAAGGGTCCCTTAAGGAAAAAGGTTGGGAACTACAGGTTTTACTTCACCAAATTCAGTGTAGCGCTAATTAGCAAATGTTAGCATGCGAACACCCTAAAATAAAATAATTAAAATACCTGCTGAAAATCAGCTTCTTGCATTGAGCCTATAGAGTCAAATACTACTAATGCTACTACTTCAATGAAGAATAACAGTCTTTATCACATTACTTACAGCACTTGACTGACAAATCTCCAAATATATCAGGCCAGTTAAAGTCAAACCAAATAAAAAGAACTTGATTAAATTGTGATAATTTACCTAATAAAATCTAAACAAGGCCTTAACTCACTTAAACTGAGGAAATCAGAGACGTTACAGGAAGACACAGAGAGTTGAGAGTAGCCGAGTTTCCATTTGAACATTTCTGTCTCTGATTAGAAAAGTCCAATCCAAACAGTAAAAATTCCTCCTGCTATTTGCTGCTCTCTCTCTCTCTCTCTCTCTCTCTCTCTCTCTCTCTCTCTCTCTCTTACCCGCTGACTGAAATTGACTTTAAAATCCAGCTGGTTGCTTTGAACCTTCTGCTTCTGTTAGAAATGTGTGTCCTTGTATTGTTGACTGACGAACCTCAACCTTGTTTTTATGAAGCGAATACTGAGTCTGTCTGGATTTGGTGCTGATCCTGATGTAACTGCAGCTCAATGCAAGTGGTCCTCAAAACTTTCACATGCCTTTTTTATACAATGCCCTATTTCCTTTATTTATGACATTGGCCTCGTTTCAATGCGTATTATAGGCATCAATACAGCTGCACATTTGTAAAAGGTCAATTCTATTTCTAAACATCATTTCATAGCCGTGCTTCAGTATTGTTGGTTGAATTAAAAGTGCTGCTTTGGCAACACAATCCGGCCTGTGTTTGTTTTTAATATCATCTGTCTCAGTTATTCTACTTTAGTGGGATCATCCCTCATTTGTCATCTTTCTGCTTCTACAGCCACATTCTCATGACTCTCATACATACACTGTGTTCTCTCTTTATTCTTTATTCTTAAATTGGATGAGTTTCCACAAAGTGGTTGCCAGTCTCCCTGGGGTCCACACAAAAACAAAAGCAATGAAAACGAACACACACAGTGTCGATAGAAGAGGAAAATGGAAAGCGAGCTAAACATAAAACTCAAACTAAGTGAAATGATTCATGTGAAAACATGAAAAATAACATAAATGGTTACATATACAGTTTGTTCGTTGACCAGATGACCAGTAATTACGTAACGTGTTGTATACCCACGACAAGAGCCTGTATATTCATTTCTCACTAAAGAAAAGCGGCGCATTATTCCAGATGGAAAACAGAAGACTAGATTTGAGTTTCCACGGTTAACCAAGATAATCTCACAGAGAAAGAACAGTGAAGAACTACTCTGGCTGTTCAGTGCAATCTGAAGTTTATTTGAGATGTTTCTCAGCAGCACTTTACCTGCTTGTCACGGTGGGTAAAGACGTATCGGAACGAGTCAGAGATCGGTTTAACGTTACAGATGCAGCTACATCGGTGCACGGACGCCTGGAACGATCTGAATGATGAACAGTTCAATAAAGCTCTAAGTCATATCAGTGTGATTGTAAGCCACCAATCCAGTGACACTTTCACAGACAGGGACACTTTTAAAAGCTTAGAAGAAACTTTATTTACTGCTTTTTGTTGACACAGTTGTGTGTAAAACTAAATGATTTCAAGGTAGTGTAGTTCAAGTTTACACCCATAGAGTTTATGCAGTAGTCACACCTCATATTCAGAGGTCTCTCTTTACCTCTAACTCCAAAACAAGTACCAAAACAAAGTGTTTCTTATCAAATGTATGAAAGATGGGCAAAAGGGAAAGAAACTTATACGTTAAGACGGTGTGTGAGTATAACTTTCTATAAAGTGACCTTTCCTTGTTTTCTTATGTTCTTATTTTCTTATTCGTATGTGTGTGTGTGTGTATGTGTGTGTGTGTGTGTGTGAGTAATGATTAATACCCCAGGAGATGGTGTGACATTTGATTTGGCGGGGCGTGGCCGGGGAAGCGCTCACTCAGCACAAACATAAATCCACCTCACTGATAGAGTGAAGGTGGATGATGAAATACAGAACCCGACCCCAACCCTAACGACACAGAACAACACGAAGACTCACGACGGAAAATACACAAATGCAAATTCAGTTTATTTTAAGATGATTGAGAAAGTCACACAACCAGAGTGGGCTGCACTGTACATAAGGTAAAATGACCTTGAATACACATGCTTTTATATTATCAGTCAAAAAGAAACTTTGTATTAGTTAAATACACCTTACAGTAAATATTGTGGAGACATTAAACCTGCATTCTTTCTAATGACCAGCAGGGGGCACCTCCATGGGCTGCACAAAATAACTCTGATAGTATTGAGTCTAATGAAGAAATGAGCCGACTTCTCAGTTGATTTATGAGCTCAATAAACAGTTTCCTGATGAGTTTCTGGTCTCAGTCTCTAGTTTCAGTCTTCTTCCATACAGCATGATGTTCATTTAGTAACTGATGGTTCCAGTTCCACCAGAAGCAACGTGGCACAGAGACAGATCGCACTGGCAAGAAGTCAGACACAGAAACGGCAGAGAGAAAACGGGCAATTTACAAGTTTAAATACAGCACGCTGCATCAACATTAATTTGATTTTGGAAGTTTTATGAATTTCGTATTCCGGTAGAACAGACTGAGAACTAAATGAGCAGATTTGGCAGCTAAAACCTACCTGCTCTTAAAACTGTCTCACACGAGAGGGGTTACGTTGATTTAAGAACCACTTTGTCCTGTTTTCTTTCAGAGACACAGACTGAGGGGATAAATCCACAGACAAGCCACGATGTGACACAAATATGTTGAATATTGTTCCATCCACCCAGGCAGCGCCGTGATGGAGACCAGGCGGTTTCAACACAGTCCGGTTGAAAGTCAGCACAGAGCCTCCTCCTCCTCCTCTTCCTCCTCTCTCAGTCCTTCAGCCTCTCTGTCACTTTCTTGTGATTTATTCATGGCTGCACCGGGGAAAGAAAGATCAATAGTTTCTGAAAGAAAAATGAGTTAGCGTCAGGCCACGACGCCATGAGGAGAGGGAGGAAGAAGAGAGAGAAGTTCACTGGAAGTTCAGAGGGGATGTGGAAGTTGAGGAGGCCATGCCAGGAAATCTGCTCCTCACTTCACTTAACTGCTGGCGCGTTTGCCTCCAAACGGCAGTCATTTTATAAAGTCACATTATCAGCTCTACTTATGACACCCTGGGAGCGTTAATTTGTCACATTACGTTTCTTTTACACCTTGAAAGTCGGCTGTTGGCACTTTGAAACATCAGCTGCTTTCCTCCTCTGTGAAAGCCGCTGGTGGTGACGAGGATTACAGAGCGATCTATTTGCATTCTTGGCTTGCTTCTTTGCAAATGTCAGCTAGCGGCGAAGGCGAGAAGCTAACATCTGCACGGCTAACGGGAAAGAACTGAAAAACCCTCCTGTTGATCTCATTTTAAAGCTCTCGTGTATTATTTTAACATGGCTACCACTATTGCTAGCCTTGTAGTTACACCAGATAAATCCAACTACATCATAATTATATAATAATAGTTTCTCATGGTAAACAATACTCCTTTTTTAATAAGATAGTTTGTAATATTGACTTTCCTTTAGATGTAACTGCCATTTTGCCACCGGTTTATTGACACTTTTGCCGACTGGGAGATATTTAAGCATAAGTTTTATAATATCTTTGGCTGACTTGATCAGTTTTTGTCACTCGAGCTTTAGGAAATTATTCAAACACAACGCTAACACCAGCAGGGCCAAGATACTGTACAAACAGTCCTCTGTTAGCTATAATAACATTGCTGGGTCTGTTTCCAGTTTATTATGCACAAAGCTAACGTGGATCATTTATTGATTTTGCATACTGAGGCCATACACAGACGTTATTGTGTATTAGTCACGTTGCAGATGATTGATTTCAGTTTTTTTGAGGTTGTTTCTCTTCAAACTGAAACAGTAGTGTTACTGTATGATTCCCCTGAGAAATAAACTTTACTAAAAGCAACATAAAAAGCTGAATTTGAATGGTTACATGTGAGTAATAACATGACACATTGATTTCCTGGTCTGCTGGCAGAGACGCACTTACACTATAGTACCCAGTTTTATCACTCACACACTGGACCGTGTGCAGACGCAAATGTATAATTGAAAAAGTGTGTGTTAAGCTCACATTTATACACACACACATCTTTCTGTGTGTGTGTGTGTGTGTGTGTGTGTGTGTGTGTGTAAAATTGCCTGTGCATGGGAGCATTTTACAATAAGAGTGAAACTGTCACTGCAACCAAACACCACATCACATTTATTAAATCTTCCCTGAGCCTGTGCTTGCTTTAAACCCCAGTCCCAGGCTGTAGGTAACCAACTGTGGAGCTACAAAATGTGAAACACGACGTCTGACAAATATCTGCTTTCCAACATTTATTTATTTTCTGCTTTTGTTCAGTCCGGATGCAGAATGTGTAGGTGGAGGGAGTGAGTTTAGGGAGGTTTCAGCTCCTGCAGCAGAGTTCTGGAGCAATAAACACTGAATTTCTACCTGCTCCAGTAAGAGTGATGCTCGAGGTGAGCGGACCTAATTGTGCAGGGGGAGGATAACAACAATTATCAGGCTAAATCATGTAACAAGATGTTGGAGTGAGCAGGTTTGTAAATGGAACATTTTGCCTTTGAATCTCCAGACAGGCTTAGAAAATCTGATTATATTAAATTAATTGTTTGACATTTAGGAAAATGCATTTATTCTCTTTACTAATTGCTGTGTGCCTCTGGCCCCAATGACAGCAGATGTAAGGGCATTTATAATAATAATCTAATCTAAAAAAATTATTTAACATTACTTTACTAGCTTTCCACCAAGTCCCCCTCCTGATTTTAACTATTTTACTTGTCAATATTGATACTGCACCTTCATTTTTACACTCAAAAGCTTTCATTTTATTCCTCTATGGTCCAAATGCTCGCTGAGATTCAATATTTTCAGCTCCATTCAAACTGGATTTCTGCCATGCAGCTTCTTAGCAATCGAATTACAGCAGAAAGAGAGACATCCAACAGCTTTTCCCTCCTGAGACTCTTCATTTCAGCAGTGATCAATGTGGCGTAACTGGCAAACTGTCCACACATTCGGTCAAACCGTCCCTCCAGGCGAGAGCCGATATACGTGGATATAAAGAGGTTAAAGCAGGAGGAGCGTTTTACTGCATGTACGCTCTATACAGACAGTAATGTGTGGACACTGATGGATGCAAATGTTTGTTCTAATCACATGGGTGTCAATTAGTGCTTGCTTACAGCTCATTCTCTGTATGTTCTCTATAATAATGTACCAGGTTTATGAGCATAATGCAGTGCTGTGCCAGTGTCTCATGTATTTAATTAAAAACCTTGTAATTAAATGCTTAATTTCAACAAATTTCATGGCCAATTTTAGTCATCAAGCAATAACAGTAAGAAGGCATTGAAGTTGAAGTTACACTTTTAATTTAGTGAGAAACTTAGCTTTCTCTGCAGCAGGTAGGCAACTCTTCCAGAGCTTTTAGGGCAGTTAACCTCTTACCATGTATGTAAAATTACCTAAAATGCCTAAAAACACCTTTACCCAAAGTAAAGTGAGTTGGCTCAATTTTATGATTGCTTGCTTTCTAGTTTGAGGCGCCGATTGTGCCTGCTGTTGTGGTTGTATCCCAAAAAAGTTTTGATCAATAAATAGACGAGATTCTAAGCTTTCCAATGATGTATGGTATGGGTACTAAATCCAACGTGGTGGAATGTAAACATGGTGGTATGTCAACGGCCCG